CCCACATCCGGCATCGGGGCCACCAACCCACATCCCGCTTGCACATACACTGGGTCGTTACTGATAAGGATAGATGTTGATGAGCGCGAGAGCGATACTGGTATACTGCTCGGCGCGGAGCACTCTTGCGCGGAGCTCGCCCTCACCGGAGTCGGGGCGGACTTGCGTGGCCTGAGGCCATCGACGCACATTGTCCTCGCAGGTCATGGCAGCGCTGAGCCACGTGAGCGCGTCGTCCACACACGCCAGAGGAACTAAGGCCCCACGGCCTGCTCGACGCCGCCCAGCCGCCCAGTCCTCAAGTCTTGGTCCTTTGCCGAGGCTGGAGGACATGCCGGAGCCGGAAGACGGTATGCGCGCGGCGAGTCGTCGACTCGAGGGCGGCCAACGTGAGGTTGGCGGAGGCGAGTGTGAGGCGCGTGTGGAATGGACGAAGGCCACGTACGTACGGGGCGAGGCCCGCAGGCGCGCAGCAGAGCCGCGGACATAGCGTATATCATGCAAGGACACCGAGATAAGTGGGCTACGAGAACCCGCATCTTGCCGCGTATATCGTGCGGCAGTTGCGGGCTCGTCGCATCAGCCCGTGAAGCCTTTGCGGCTCGGCGAACGTGGGGCGGGTTAGCCGCTGCAGCCCCACTTGCATCCTTAGTCTAGGTGACATTCAGTTATTTTAGCCCCTCCTGTCAAATGAATTTTTTCCATGCACTTAAACTATCTTCTAGCTAATTTACATTGGCTTATCACTATATTTACAATGATTTCTTCAGTGCAATTTACTGAACACAGTGGTGTAATTTGGGGATAATACAAATATATGCCAAATTTTTTCAGAAAAAATGAAAAATTATTTGTATGGAATGTAGACATCAGAGAAATATATGCCAAATTTTTCACAAATTGTTCATAAATTTAAAAAATAAATTACAAATTGTTCACAAATTATGGTGGGACCCACTCTCCCAACCTTATCCCTCCCTTCCCTTCCCTTGGGTTCCCTTCCGTAATTGCGTGAGCCGCACAGAACCGATGCTACCGTAGCGGCCTTCCCAGATCCTAGCCCCCAGCGCGGGAGGCCTTCCTAGCTCCGGTGCAGCGGCGCCCCTCCTTCCCCACCCCGGCGCCCGCGCAGCGACGCCCCTGGTCCTTCATGGCCCGGTGCGGCGCCCCCGCCTCGCCTTCCCCGCCCAGGCGCTCCTTCCTGGCTGTCCTCGCAAGATCAGATAGCCCAAAAATTAGTTGATGGGGGGAGGGGCAAATCAAACCGGCTAAGCTTTAGCAATTCTGAAAGTATGTTGATTTTGATATCTTATGTGAAATTGTTCCATAGATCCATACCCCAATGCACATACGTGAGAAAACTCGCGAACAACACAGCGGACATCGTTCTGTTTTTTCCATCACGAGAAGGTAAACACAAATGGAAACATGCGTGGTTATAGTGTGGCCAACAATACTGCGATAGAGTAGCATGCATATTGGTAGCAGGTTTAAGAAAATCTAGCCAGCCACGCTGGTTGCGCGGACATTGTAGTGCAAGCATAGGATATCTGCGGGTCGATTGGTCTTGTTGAATTATTCATGATTATTCGAAATAGAACGCATGTCATGGCTAGTTTTTTTTTAAACGACTCATTGCTACTTGTAGTAAGCATGGACAGCATGACGGAACCAGCACAGGCTAAGGCTACATTCATTCTCTACAGTAATAAAAAGTAGGAAAAACGCCCGGTGGCCCAACGGCCCCTGGCCTGGCCTGCCTGATGAAGCGGCCGGGTACAGGACACGACGGGACCTGCCGCCTGCTCGGTGGCCCATGGGCGGCACCCCACGAGACGGGCACGGGGCGCGGGCGGCACCACCAGTCCACCAAGCGCGACCCATCTCGTCGTCACCGCTAGCATAGCAATGGCAAGCAAACTTGGCCGGCCCGCCATGCATCCATCCGCCTGGGTGGCTGGGCCCCTGGCCTGCGCGCGTCGTTTTCCAAGCGCACGTCCAGTCCGTGTGCGCGCCTTTGCAAAAGGCGGGGGAGTCTCGGAAAAGAGCGACAAAAGCGCACCGCATTCGCATGCACGCGCCCCTCCTCTCCTCGACGATCTCTCCCGTCTCGTGCTGCCTGCCCCTTGCCCCGCTCCCCGGCCTGCCGCGGCTGCCTCTGCCTGACGGCAGCATGGCTGGGGGCCGGGGCGTCGCTGGGCTCCCTGCCCCAGACCCCAGTGCCCCGCTCGGTTGGATGGACGTGGGCGGGCGGCACCCAGCCAATGACGCCACGTGTAATGTATGCATGATGCATAACTTGCTGGTTGCCCCGCGCGCGCCTGCATGCGGACTTTGCTTCGATTCACCCCCGGCATGGGCCTCTTTTTTCAGCGTGCGATTGGCGATGGCTCGGCCTGATGCGCTGATCGATGCCATCACTCCATCACGATTCACGTGCACTCAAGACTCAAGAGAGAGTACATACTACAACTACCCACGTACGCGTCGCATTGTTTGGCTGTACGTCGGCCGTACTCCGGGCTGATCGAACACGTACGGCCTGGACACCGAACGAACGACACCTCCATCTCTATCCCAAAGGTGAAAGGTGCGTGTCTGCACATGGCCGTATATATGGCGTCTGAACAATCCCCCACTGGCTGTCCACTGCTGCTGCTAGTGAGTGGTACACGATGTGTTTCAGATACACACCCGTATATAGCGTACAGGCTCCTCCGACTCCGACCGAGTCAGTATGATTGGCGTCAGAGCATGTTCCATGCAATTATAACCATGATGTCATCGGCACATGTTTAAAGCAAGCCGAGGAGGAATGTATAAAGCTGGAGCAGAAGGCCTGCTGCTCAGGCCACAGGCCTGGGTATAGTTGCCTCATAAAGCCTGAACTTGTGTCGGCTACAAGCAGCTTATATACACAGAAATGCATGATTTGGAGCGCCAAAAAGGATCCGTCGTCTAGCGTAAAAACTCTTGCCTCGTAAGTAACTCATATAAGTGTTGTCTAGGCAATGCATTTACATATATACGCCTTATATGGTTCGTGGTTTTAATTTATATGGTTGATTAATTTACATATATACGCCTTATATATTCATTTGCAAAGTTTGGATGGAAGCTCTCGAGCCAAATTGAAGCTTAGTCTGTTTTTTAGTTCGGGTTTTCTTTTTTTGCTTTTATCTGGGTCGTGTGTTCGTGTGCTCGTTTTTTAGTTAGGTGAGCCTAAGTGCTTTTGTGGATGTTCAAGGCTGTGTAAATCTCGAATGATGTAGATGCTGAGACCTTTTCATTTGCTTGATGATGAAATATGTATCCCCTGATCTAAAAAAAGTTACTTCTTGGTTCAAAAATTTATATGTGTTGGCATATTACAAATTCGTACCACCTTAACTTGAACTTCTAGCTATGCCACTAATAGTCAATTGTCATGCATGAAGCATGATAATGATTATCTGCTTAACTCTGGTCTTACCCGACATACTTATCGTGTGAAAGCTACAACATCTGGTCTATATATAAACCTGCTAAATAGGGGGCTCTATGTAATAGTTTGGCTCTTTTACGTAACACGCGGCTGGATTACATGCACTTTCTTCCATGTACGTGTTCATACTTGATACGCAGCTTAACAATATCATATAAAGTGAAAACCTAATATATACTATATTGGGCTTTCATTATATGTCTTTGTGTATTACGATGCAAACTAATCTAGCAGTCATTTTTTATAACATTTATTTTTAGATTAGATGACTTCTTAGCAGCTAATAATACAAAAATTGCTACGGGACACTTAAAGTGATGTCATGCATGGTGTCAGCAACACCAGATAAAGTCTAATTGGCTGCTCGATACTTTCATTAGTGACATTTACTAAAAACACCGCGCCCATTAAAATAAAATAATGTTTTCCGAGTGAGTAGGAGTGAGAAAGATGACGAAATGTTCTTTTTGCGCTCGCTCTTTTTACTTCCTCCCTCACATTCTTCTCCTCGTTCTTCTTCCCCCGCACCAAATTCCACACGCTTCCCACCTTCCTCTCCACGCAATCATCCACACCCATCTGTTCCCGTCACCACCGCTAAACTTTCTGTCACTGTTGTTGCTACTGCCATCTCCACGCAGGTGGCGCTAGGTCGACTTCGACATTGCCAGCGACACCACCAACTCCACCACTCGAATGAGGGAGCATAGGGTCACCATCTTCGCTAAGGAGGAGCACGTTACCTCATGACTTTCACTGCTGCCCAATTGCTGAGGCATCCTTTTCTTCTCATCTTCTATTTTGCTCTTATGTTCCCTTTTGGTAGGGCCGTCGAGATGGTCTCCTCCCTAATCGAGTTCGGTGCCGGGAACAGGGACACACAGCTGGCAGCGCTGCCGCCAGCTAGGAGGCTCCTGATGGAGGTTGTGAGCTTGCCATCTGCCTAGGTGCTCATCGGAGGAGGTTGGTGAGAGGAGGAAGAGAAGAGGTTGATGCGTGGGAGGGCAGAAGAAGAGTCAGAGGCAAAAAGGACATTCATCGTCGTCTTTCTCTCCGTGCTCACGTAAAAAATATTATTTTAGTGGTGGGTGTGATATTTCAACGAATTTGTCACAGGCTAGATTGTCTAGAAGCCATTTGAACTTTTTTTAGTGTCGGTTAGCTAGCAACAACACGATCGACATCACTTTTAGTATCCCGTAGTATAGTTTTCCCAATACAAAGTGTAGCTACCTACCCTTTATAGTTAATTTGATTTTTCTCATGGATGCAGTAGCCTGAACAAATGAAGTAGTAGTATTGGGTAACTGATACTTTTGACCACTCAGGTCACACGATGCATACGTCTAAGCAATCCAAGCATGTCCATACTACAATACAAAGCACACGTGGATGCAACGCCAACGACTAAGTGTTCACACGAACAACCCACAATCCAGCAGGGGAACATGCATGGAAGAACCGAAGACATATAGTCCGAGCATATGCGTATACGGTAGCAGCTAGCTTGGCCTAATTAGCTAGCTTCCCCCTGAGGACGCAACGGGAAGAGCTCCAGGGTCACATCGTCGGTGTAGTAGTCGGTAGCGGCATCGCCGCCGCCACCATGGTCGATATCATCCCAGGTCCTGAACCTCCGCTTGCGGCTCGATGCATCTTCACACGCTTGTTCCTTTTTCGTCTCCACTCCATCCTGCATGCATGCGCAGCAGATATGATACTGCTGTTCACTGCATTTAAATTTATGCATGCATACAAGTTACTGTATGTATGTATATACTTTGGTTTCAGCAGCAGCAGCAGCTGGTAGCGTGGAAGTAGTGGTGCTGAGGGTGAGGAGGGCAGCCCGCTTCTGCTTCTGGCGCTCGCGGGCCTTGTGGTTCTGGAACCAGTAGAAGACGTTCTTACCCTCGATCCGGCCGTACTTGCCGAGCTCCTCCGTGATCTGCTCGATCTGGAATGAGTTGGGCGTGCGCATCCCCCCGCGGTACAGCATCTCCAGCACCCTTATCTGATCCGGCGACGGGTTCCACCGCGTCGTGCCACCCGCCGTCGGCACTTGCACCTGCAGCTTGCACAATGCAAAGATATGATCATCCTCGGTTAGCTAGCTAGATCAAGTCATCAGTACCTTGCATTGTGTTACTACTGCTAGCTAGTACATGAGTAGTTTTCTTTGGTTTCTAATCTATCTAACCGTGCACTTTAGCAGCCTCGAAGAAGCATTCCTGACGCGAGCAAACTCAGGAAGGACGACCATCTTCCTCGCCTCAGGGAACGAGATCTTGGGCGCAAGCGGGCGCAGACAATATTGCTGGAGGGCTAGAGGGATGGCAGCAGATGAGCTCTGAGATGCTAGTGAGATGGATGGTGGAGACGACGGCGGCGAGCCTGCCACTTTGTCCAAGTAAGCCATATGGAAATGGTGAAGCCTCATGTTAATAAAATTTGTAGATGTAGCTACAAAGTTTCAAACTTTGTATAGACGATGTAGCAGATCGAGCGAGAGAGCTATATATGTAAAAACGGAAAGCAGCTGAGGGCTAGGGCTATACTAGGCGAGAAGGCGTCCTTGCGTGTTTATATATGGGGAGACCGGAGACGATCGATGGAGAAAGCTAAGGCGGGGGCTGTAGTGAGGGTTTGAGTGTTGTGTGCGAGATCGAGGTAACAGTCGAAAGGCGTGCTCTCATGGAAGGCCGGGGGCGACAGGGAATGTGGGAGATTGCTGATGGAAGAGCGTCAGCAATGGTGGTGATGGTGGTGAATCGCAATCATCAGCGGAGCCACGAAAAGCAGGCGCAGTAATAAAGGTGAAAAGGTAAAATTCTCGCATGGATCGAGCTCCCCTCTTTTCACCTTTCCTGTCGAAATTCATGACGATTGACAAGGAATATATGGGGAGAATATCGACTCCCTCGGCTCTGTACGTTCGCATGCTGTTAAAGCGAGTTTGAATCCAGCCTAGTAGCTACGCCGCCGGTTAATCTTCACCGAACTAGAGTATTCGAAGTGCATGTTACCAGATCACGCGACAGCTTTTCACCTCGCTAATCAAAATGGTCACTTCACTGCAGCTAGCTAGAAAGTTCGTTTTCTGTACCAGATCGGAGTAGTAAAGTTCAGTAACCTTCCTTATATATATGCATGTTGCTGTGACTGAGTTCATCAAGTAGTTAGTTTTTTTTTGTATAAAACAGAGTTTATTCAGCAACCAAAAGTAATTTAGCAACCTTCTACTCCCTCCATTTCAAATGTACGTGCTAATTAAAAACGAAGGGAGTAGTGCTAGGTAGGAGTAATAAGTAAATCTTCATCTAACAATTGACTTCGATCTCTTTGTTAGCTTACTTACTGTCTACTCTATCTGTATGGATGATATCTTTGGATTAACACTCATCTCTCTCCCTTGTCTGTAAACCTGTACCCCAATCTGCATGATTGCACATCATAAACCAGATAAAGGCCAACAAAGAGATGCAAATCTCTTGCCACAATCTGTAAGATTGGTTTTGCCATACCTATATGTAGCTAGGCACATAGGCCTATCAAAGATTAGACCATCAGACCGTCATCAGTGAAGCTGCAACACGCTAATATAGGATTGGAAAAAGCATACATGCAGACGAACAGTATGTTCGTTTGTTGGTTTTCAGCCAGGGCTTATCAGCCAGCCAACAGTATTTTCCTCTCACAACAAACCAGTATCAGGCGGGCTTATCAGCACAGAAACCAACCAACGAATAGGCCGGAAAGCGAGAACCAGCATGATGGATGCTGAGGTTGACCTCGGAGTTAGCGTCGCCATCCACCATTGGACCTGGAAGAGGATACTGCACATGAACACCGAGGCATGCATATATAGATAAACTAGTAGCAGCTAGAGGAATTACCCTATATCTCTCCACTGAAACAAACATGTATATTCATTTCCAGCTCCTAGCTCCGTCTCTATATAGGGTCTGTTTGGCATGGCTCCACTCCAGAACTCCAGCAACTCCAGCAAAAAATTCAGCCAAACACCCCAGCTCCAAAACTCCATAGAGCTGCCAACTCCATGGAGCTATAGTGCAAATGGGGGTGGAGTTTTGAAGCACCTCATTTGCTGCTCCAGAACCCTCTCTTTTGAACCTCCTCGTGGAGTTGGTGGGTAATTACCCACCAATGCCACTGATTACAGAAAAAACGGTTCGATTCTATGCTGCCCCGTTGTCCGATCGGATTCGCAAAGGTCTTGAGCATCTCCGTCGCCAGCGTCGCCATCCACTCATCCGGCCGTCGTCGTGGCGCCGACCACTGTTGGAACTACGACGGGCGCTACGCCAAGGGCGCCCGCTGCCCTGCCATTCCAACAACATGGAGGCATGGACCACGAGGCCGTCGCCAGAGTGCTCCCTAGAGCCTAGTGCCGCGCTAGCAGCTAGAGGAATTACCACGACCACCACCCGTGGCGCCATCGACCTCTCCCTCACGACTCTCCGTGTCAAACAAACAAACATGTATATTCATTTCCCCGCTGCCCTTGGTGCCTCCGGTTCTCTATATTGGTGTTAGAAAGTTGGCCCTAAGAAACAACCACCACCACCCCATCCTTTGATTTGCTGCCCCCGAAAAAGAAAAGAGGAGAATAAGAGGATGACAGGTGGGACCATGAGTTGGGGGCAAGAATGACAATTCACCTTCAAACTCCTCTTTTCTGGAGCTGGGGACATCCTCTCAGCCAAACACCTCAATCAAACAACTCTAACTCCATCTAAAGCTGGCTCCACCTAGAGTTCTGGAGTGGAGCAGCTCCACCCGAGTTGGAGCTATGCCAAACAGGGCCATAGTGTTAGAAAGTTGGCTATCAAATTTTGATTTAAAAGAAAAATATATGGATATGGTTGGAGTAGCCGCATTATGTTGGGTAATTTAGAGACATCGTAATAATCTAATCTTTGGAAATTACAAATATACATCTTTTAATGCCGACTATTTTCAGGGGAATGTACTGGCTATGATTTTGGGCACTGCAGCAGCATGATTATGAAACAATGAGTATTTTCGGTTGATGAGCAGAAAATTAGAGACCAGTATGTTAGAGTTCTTCGCCTCTCAGATGTCAATTTAATAATAGTCTCTTTTATGTATAAATTTTGCATTTCTTGTTTCTTTGATTCATCAGGAATATCACTGAAACTATGTAATAATGTAAATGCAATGTGGGGACACGCAGAGGCGAGAAAGTCTCTTCATTTTATAAGAGAGAGAGAGAGAGAGAGAGAGAGAGTCCCAGCTATCAGCTTCGCGAGGTTTTCTGATTAAACTACTACTCATAATTAACCCTGCTATTTTCCCTAAATAAAACAGCAGGCAGAAGCAACATGAGGAGAAGGAAGCCCATTCCTAGCTAATGACAATTGACACATCTCTGGCACGCACACCTTTCTCGGGCGAAAGTTGCCGGGTACACCCAGGAAAACAAGGTGCATTCATGCTTCCATGTGAAAGAGACTACATAGAGTAGCATATTTGCACAGCAGGTGGCTCTCGTAACTAAAACTGGTTGATCTTTTACATATGCATGCGTGCATGGGCTCTGGTCCTGGCATACATGAGATCAGACAGTCGGGTTAAGCTTTGAAGTGCTCCATCCTAATAGCAAGCAATGTCTGAGGTGAGTGTCACACACACGCAATGCATCACCAATGCAGCATGCAGTGTCGGGGCCCGTCAAATCGGTCGGGCTTTTACTCCCAGTAATGACGGGCTGATGGGGCAGACTCACTAGCATTTCGGTGAAATTGGGCGAGGGAGTCCGAGTGACCTAGACATGGGGATTAAAGCATGCATGCAGCATGCGTATGTGCATTGTATTACCTCTGTCCTAAAATACTTGTTTTTGGGATTTTTAGGATATAGTGTTTAATAAAATTTACCTATATATCCCTATTTATTGAATGTAATTATCCACGTTAATCAAAAAGATAAGACGGTCCTTAAAAGAAATACACGGAGATATTATTCATGCTACAATCTTAAACTGATATGGACCTAACCAAGTGCCTAAAAGCTAAATCATCATTTTTGGATAATTATTTATTTCTAAGAGCATCTCCAAACGACTCTCTATATCACTCCTAATTGCTAGGAATAGAGAGTTTGATGAAAAAAAATACCCTCCAATATTTTATTTAATTGGTTATTCAAATATAGTTATCTTCTATTTTAGATTTCTTACTATCAAGGATATAAAACAAAAATAGCTCTTTAAAGTACACACAAGATGTTAAAATCAATTGGAGAGTGAGAAGATATAGAAAACGATTTTTATGCCAATGACCTTCAAATGATAATTTAAAAAGTGAGCTTGAGAAAGACTCTTAGGGTGTCCTCAATGGCCAGCTACGTCGCCGGCTGAGGCAAATATCGTCTGACGTGGAAATACTAAAGAATGAAGAAAATGTCTCGCTAGCGACGAGAGAATCGACAGTCGATTTCACTGCAATCGAGGACATGTGAGAGCAGAAATATCAGTCTATTCGCTTGGTCGTAAACGATCGTAAATTTCTAGCCAGAACAGTATTTTCCTCTCACACCAAACCAACCAGCAGTAAATAATCCACGATCGTTTACGGCCTCTCGGACAGGCTGATAGATATTGTTTTGACTCTCTCATATCCAGCTCAGCCAGCGACGTCGATCGTGTCACTGGGACGCCCTTAGAGATGCTCTAGAGCATAAGTTTTTTTTTTGACCGAGGGAGGATATATACTGGTATATGTGGTGTACTGGTGTGGGATTAGTGAAAAGAGATCGTGTCAATCCCGATAAAGCGGTGAAATGCCAAAAGCCCGGAAAAGGGAAAAGCTAGCACGCAGGAGCAGGACGCAGCATCAGCAGCGTACGTCAAGCTGGCCGGCCGGACGGCAAGCGAGATCGGCGGAGACGTTAGGCGGAAAGCTGCGTACATGCAAATCAGGGTCTTAAATTAGTTGTGAACTCGATGTCACAAACCCGGATCAAATATAAGTATCACCGAACACCGATTCGGTTTGAAACTCGCTTCTTCATTTCGCTCCCTGCTGCGAAGAATATGCTCCTTCTTGTGTTTTTTTTAACGCAACTCCTTCTCGTGTTTTTTTCTGGTGCTTATCGTATATTCCTCTAGCGAGTCATGCGACATTCCGAAAAATATAGCTAAGTGGCTAGCCATTCAGTGCAGCATTAATGTATGTTGGGTCTGATTGGTTTGTTTCTAAAATTTGCCGTACTAATGATTTAGTAAGCCATGATTTTAGCTAATATCTAGTTTGCTATCAAAACTTGCCAAACTCTCGCTTGGCAAATCTATGGCAATGTTTTGCCTCAACTTTTGGTTTGCCAAATCTTTGGCATGACAAATTTTGGATATCAACTAGCAGGTCTGTTATGTATTCATGTGGTTGCATTTCATAT